AATTCAGATAGCGTTGATTCTTTTTGCGTTTCTATCCTATGAAAATATTTTATCTCTAATGATCTATCCCAAGACAAAAATGTATACAATGTTTTACTGCTTGCAAAATCCTGAATGCTATCATTTAACCTGTTTACTGCGTTACATTAAGTTATCTAAACTTTGTTGCATCTGTTTATATGATCTTCGAGTAAAGATCTATGAAGTGCTGGTACCACGACCCCGCAGATTTATTAAATATATTCTTTCTTTTTTAATATACAGACAATTGAAGCAATCTATTCGTACTAATTTCTTAATTTAGCATAAACAGTACTTGAAAGTCAGTCTACCGTAACTTTATTCAAAGGGTACATTCAGGTCATTGGTACAGCTGGACATAGTTTTGTGCTCATATTTCAGCAAGTAAGCTTGGTAACGTTTGTCAGCATCTTTGGCAAGTAAAAGCTCCGTATGATCTACTCAATCAGCCCCATTGGGGCCGGCAAAACCTGTAAATACACGTTGATAAAGCCCAGTGCATCTCATTTTCATTCTGTCACTGACAAGTCAGCTGTTGGCGAAGGAAGGTAGCATGGAAATCTGTAGCATAAAATGTTCTTCAAAGGGACCGGAAAAGCGTCAACGAAGAATGTCCATAGCAGTATCACCTTTAAATCTGAGATTCGCTAAACTTATTTTCTCTGTAGCTGATAGAATCTGTTCCATGGTTTTTGGTTTCCTCGTTGTAAACTTTGTTAACTCCAGATATCTGACTCCTCTGGAAACCTCGTTCAAAGTTCTCAACAAAGTTTGATAACACTGTTCTAAAGGGGTGAAGATTAGACACATGCGTACCAACAAAGCTTTGTCAATTCACAGCTTCAAACCTCAATTGTATATTGAAAGGAAACATACATAAACGCTATTTTTACCGTATCCTGAAACAGATACTCTGCCCCTCTGTTTATGCTTCCGAGACATTCTGTCACATTACTCAGACATTTATTGATGTAGGGCTATGGAAATGAGTCGTCGAAAAAAAAGTTATCTTCATTGTAACCTCCCCTTGCTTTTCTGTGACTTCATGAGGAAAGTTAACGGGAGACTTATTGTTGCTCAAACACAGCTTTCAGTATAGCTATTCCTTCTGTTGATAGTACTGTGAATAATATCACTTCATTTTAGTACAACACAAAGACAAACTTTTCTTCGGATAATTGGTTCACCTGATATGAAGTGCACTTCAAGTCCGATCTTACTGGCGAAGATTATGTTGGGAATGTAATCTTGTCGCTCTAAAAGCTGGATTCAGCCAAATTAGGCCAGTAATGTAACATCAGTTTGACACAGAACCCGCATGAGTGAACATTTGACACCACAGCTCAGATATTGAGGCAATCTTATATGGAAGTCAGATATCACCATCTTACAATATAGGTGAATGGAAAAGATTTTTTCCCCCACTCATGTCAGCATTGTCAACCGTGAATGTGAATGATTCAAACTGATATCCTTAACCTAAGACCACCATAAATCCTTTATGGCGATATGAAGCCTGAAGTGGCCAAAACTAGATCATATGGGAATGTGACTGCTAAATCTTTTAGATTAAGACCCAATGTCAACTATGAAAGACATCTGCAGAACATTAGCTTCAAATCTATATTTTAGTTCGGTTCAGATGCAAAGGTATCTCTAAAGTAAATGCACTTCACCGGACTACAGATCTTCACATAGTTTGTGACAGATCTCTTGCTGGTTTACCCTGAGATGTGCAAACGTACTCCAGAAATCCACACAAAAACGCCACAGTAGACAGCATTCACACTTTTCTGATATACAGCATTTCATTCAATCTTTCCGTTCTAAATAACACAGATCCCGTCACTGCTCAACCGTAGGTCACAAATACAAATATTTTGCCAACACCGTCTGCTTACAGAGTCAGTGCAATCATACTTTATGTCTTCCCGATAACGTAGAAAGAGAAATCATGCATACACCTCAAACACTCGTGCCTGCTCGTGCCTGTGGAACGAAAATGAAGCAAAAGAAAGAAGGAGGTCCTAGCTCCTGTCTTTGCTGCATGCCACTACTAAAAGCTAATCTATGGTCAACAATTTTCTTTCATGACAGACCACAAACCCGTTATATCTGTCCTCAGGTCAAGATGGAGCATTCCTGCAAATTTAGAAAACTGATTAAAACCATGAGTGGTAATACTTCTGGATATGACTTCAAGATTTAATACTGTTATACTTTCATGGCTAACAAAAGACTACCCTACTTTCAACAGAGATGCCACTGAAGGTGACTCGATTCACAATCTTATTACAGTTGTTTGAGCTCTTACACTAAACTCAGTATATGTTCAAGCAGCCACTAAGATAGACGACACACGCATTGAATTCATTTACTGTCAGCGGCCAAGCAAATCATCATTTGGTGAACTACGACGGCAATTCAATGGAAGACTAACTTCTTGTGTCGCGAATAGTTGCTTCATATTCCAAGGTCTCTGTCGTGATCCAAAAGCACTTTAATTTCACACGAGTTGCTCAGGAGTAGAACATACAGAGGCAACTATACGAAGCTTCGCTTACTGTCTTTATATGGACAGTAATATTGCCAAGTATGTTAGATGCTTCCTAAGTTCCAACAAGCTGCAAAACACACACTACGAGTTCTATCTATTCTCCGGCTGCCAACAGACCGTCTGTGGTCAAATGTAAATACGAAATTAACTAGACCAATAAGTGGAAACTTTTATTCGGTGGATGCGTACACGAAGTGATACGAAATCAAGCCATTAGACCCACCACAAGCAACAAAAGTGCTACAAGATCTTTCAACTTGTCACGGTTAACCGAAGACCATCGCCTCTGACAATTTTTGGTAGTTGATGGCTCAACAGATCCACGAATACTGTCTCAACAATGAAATCGACCACGTCCTGTCGCTACCTTACCATCCACAATTTAATAAAGAATGCTGACGCTTTGTAGATAAACTTTATGAAGCTTTGCTAAAGGCGAGAGGAGAAGGGATGCCAACGGACAGTGTTCAAAAGTTCCTGGTTGCGTAAAGCATAACACCCAACGAAGCGATAAACGAATTCCAAACTCTTGTTGGAGCACTTATGGGACGTGATTTGAGAATACCTCATGACACCATGACTCTGAAAGCACCTGCTGAAGACCACCGGTGAGTGCCGAAAGGACGTTCGAAGAAGGAACACCAATATTTACTCATTACCACCAACTCTGTTTCAAAAAGTGGATTGCCAGAGCGATAATCCGTAGGTGTAGAATTGTGATATTTGAAGTAGCCACCAGACACAACAGACAGATGTGACAGAAGCAACTGTTTCTGAGAGTAGCGCCCCAGCAAGAAGCATCCTCAAACAGACTTCCCCTTCAAATTCTACTGGGTGCATTCTAACTGCCCAATAAGAGAATACTTGATTACGAACAAGAAAACATCCATCAAGAAATTCATTATACGAAAATTTTCAGATAGAAGACCGCAAGAGACAGTACATTTTCAAGGTCAGCATTAGAATTTCCTAAACAGAAAGGTGTCGTGAATATTAGTTCCCGGAAAGTAAACGTTTAATGCTTAAATCTGATAAATTTATTTGATAGAAAAAATGAATTACCAAAGTAATACATCATGCAATGGGTAGAATGCATCGAATCAATGTAAATAGATTTCAAAGTCATAAACAAGCACATGAAATCATTCTCACTCCGATTTGCTGAAATAAGCGTCCTTGAGGCTGTAAATACCGCCTTACTACCAGAAATCATAAAGCCTAAACCCGAGGCTTCCTACCAGGCGTCACCATCCAGCTTATAAATATCAACGTGCACCACGATGCGGAGTCTAGTAGCTTAGTGGCTTCATTGCAAAATGATCAACAGAATGCCGTCAGTACTCAGGACTAGGAAAAATGAAATTCGTTCCTCCCCAGTAGCTTATAAATATAGCTAAAACATATAAGGCAATATATCCTAAGCCGAGCTTGTCTGGAACTGCAAATCATGAGAAAGATATCTCACTAGATAATAAACAATCAAAAAGTTCGACAACTTAGTTTCATCTTCATGAAGTGACTGAAATCGGCCACTATAGGTATAGAATGATTGTGTGTCTTAGCAGCTTCATCATTGACGGAGTGTACATGTCAACAATAAGACTTGACTTCTGCTTGAAGAAATTTGAAATCATACTCAAAGATCAAAAGCAGTTTTGTCTGGTGCTATATTTGCAATATTTAAACTAATAACTAGAATAAAAAAAACTCATTTACGTGAAAATATAATTTTTTTTGTAAATGATCTTCTTTTCACTTTCTAAAAATTAAACAGTTTGTACAAATAAGTGAGAGGAAGAATTATCATAGAAAAGGGCAAATGTATCTATTTCTGTGTAAACGAGGATAAGATTTGATGGAGAGGATGAATTTAAAAAAGGGTGAAGATTGGAAACAGAATAAGTGTTCTTTTTCACTTCCAGCAGCCTATCATCTGTCTGGATGATATCATTTGTCTTTCAGAAAACTCCATTATCAAAAGCTTCCTCCACATTCTGTGTTGCTGATATCATTAACACTACGACTAACTTTCTTATACTTTCTGTCTATTATAACACACATTTCCTGACTATCATCCTCATTATGGAAGTGTAATCGCCTTTCTCTGAATTTGCCTCGAAAACTATGGTTGTCGTTAGAATGGCTGACACTACTTATGCTGGTCCCTGACCGAATTACTCCTAATGAATGACGGTTCTAATTATACCTAAATTTGACTTATTCAACAAACATTTTTGAACATTATTAGATTTTCTTAAAAAATTTGTATTTCCTAATAGGCATTTTTCTTCACTTCTTGCTTCTTGGCGTTTTAACACTTTCTCACGTCTCATTTGGTCTTGATAAAAAGCAGCAAAATTATTCACAATTATTGGTATTGGAAGTCCAACTACAAGAACACCACATATACAGCAAACTGAACCTATTACTTTACCTAGTACAGTTTTTGGTGTAATGTCACCGTAGCCAACAGTTGTCATTGTGATGATAGCCCACCAAAATGTGGCTGGTATGCTTTGAAATTCATTCTTGTTATCATCTTTTTCAGCAAAATAAGCCAAACTTGAAAATAATAAAACAACAAGTACAACAAATAACATAAGAAGACCTAATTCTTTATATGATTGTTTTAATGTATAACCAAGTGCTTGAAGACCTTGAGAATGTCTTGCCAACTTGAAAACCCGTAATATACGTAAAATTCTAAACATTTGAACAATTTTACGCATAGATACTAGTGAATCTAGCGGTGAATGAAGCCACACTTCAAAAATTTCAGAAAAATAGTAGGGTAGTATAGCAATAACATCGATTAAATTCATCGGACTTTTAACAAAAGTGCATTTACTCGGTGCAACTAACAGGCGTAGGGCATATTCGAATGTAAACCATATTGTGCACACTGACTCTAACATTTCTAATTTTTCATTTACGTAGTCTGTCTGAGTTCCATTTTGAGTGTCTTCATTGATTCCAGATGAATTTCCTCTTAATTCAGGGATCGTGCTTAAGTTCAACCCAATTATTGATAACATTATGAAAGCGATTGAAATTACTGCGAATATCTATAGGGAACAAGAAAAAGATCAATGAAAATATAGATCAGTAAAAAACAATGGGAATTTAGGAAGTAAACACATTACGCAACAGCTGCGGGGAGGTTTTCTCTTGATTGATAATATTTTGATGCCTTAGTCTCGCTTATTAACAGTGTCGTGAACGAAGACACCACTAAAAACCCCACTTCTATGTCATTCGGATAAGATCACATACATTAAAAGAAGTGACTTTGTAGTCATTACCATACCTCTAGTCATTGAATAAAAATGAAATTTAACGACCCAACAGCAAATGCAATGAATGAATCAGTATATTGAGATCTTTTCCGAACGGAGATTCTGAACAGTTACGTTTGTTTACTTAATTTACGAGTGAAGTATGCAGTGATCAAATAACTCAGAGCATCTTTTCCTGATTACTTAAGTTATAGACACCAATATATATATATATATATATATATATATATATATTGCAGCCCATCTGTAATTCGGCAGAACAAAAATACACATTGATGCACTTGGATTAAACCAGGCAAACCTAACGAGAAATCGGACTGGTATAAATAATAATGACATAATACGGTTCCGCCGATCCTAGAACTATAGTTCCATCTCCGTAACAGTAATAATAATACTCATCGGAATGAATACGCCAAGCATGAGAAAAAGTAGGCAAGAGAAGAAAGAGGTTAATGACAGAAGTGAATCGAAACTATTTTATTGAATAATGACATTAAGCTACAGTTGTCTAATAGCCTATAACGTATCAAAACAAAGTAGTGTTTGAAACATTTATTCATGCGTTTTTCTAAATCCTACAGATATATTCAGTACTTTCCCCCAGGCTATTAAATAATATACAATTCATCGTATAAGTAACTGTCAGACCTTAAGCTTTGAACCACATATAGCATTCTCAGAGAAACAAATATATATTTGCTTTCGTAAGCCCACTTGAGAACAGCTAAAAGAGATAAATAAACACCTATGTATATTGACTGGTATTTTCTCAGGCAATGTTATGGAGAGACATAAGTTTCCAGAATTTATGGCTTCTAACAGAAGGAAACATCAACCATTAGCTTATACTTACTGAAATATCATCTCCACCCAACATAATATGAATAAGCAAAGACTGTTCAGTCAATATCAAACCCACCTTACTCAGCTCATAGTCATCAATACTTCTCATGAGATATCCCTCCTACCGTCATAACAGTTTGTAGGAAAGTAACTGATAATTCACCATTGGATAACAAATGTTTGATTCTCTGAAACAGTGTTCCAACTGGCTTGTTATTGTAAGTAGCTGAACAAAGGCTGTTGTGACCTAAATGCTATGCCTTTATCCAGCGTTGACGATAATGCTTCTCCTTTTCGTGGTATGAGCTCGTTTTGAAATAAATGGATGCCCAACTTTGAGCTGACCTACACATTACAGATTATACTTCAAATGAGGGCTATTTAAAACAGGTGAAATGTTTAAAACGTGACTTGCATCGCTTCAAGTAACTCACCCATTCACTAATTACTAAGTAAAACATGTTGGGATAACACAAACTGATCAGTTGGTTTCCTAACTGACTGCGAATATTTCATCAAACATGGGGTCTTATCAACCTCCTACAATCGGTAAAGCACAGTTTACTTACAATTTATATGGAAAATGAAGCAACTCACTGGCTTTTAAAGTGATACCGTTTTGACGAATTGAGATATGACTTCTGTACGTATTCAGGTAACGAAAGCCACTTGCAGGATTTCAGAGGCACTGTGTGTTTGATCTACGCTTCTGTTTCTGGACAAAAAGGCCAAATGATCTTTTATTGGTGACAGTAACAAAAATTTCCAATACCCTTCTTCGTTTTTGTACCCAACTTCAACTCTGATTCTAAAATGGATTTGGTTTTAACCTACAGCATGAGGTGGTGAACTAGGGAAACGGTGAAACAATAATACAAGGTTATGCCGTAATAAATCCTGTATACATATAGCTACTAGTCAAAGATGAATATCTACCATCAGTGTGAAGAAATTTCTCATCGTATCTACGTTTTATTATGTAGCAGCTTTAGAAAAGATGTAAAGCGTTGACATGACTTCATTCTCAGCAAAAGCCTCTGGCAAACTTCCGAATCATTTGCTGAGGTTTACGTACGTATTTAGCCTTATTTCCCTTTCATACTGACTTATTACTGGGATACTTTAGCAATCCAGAAGATAACTTTTAATAAAAACCCCTAAGAAGTGCTGAATCTGAGATTTTTTTGTCTGTGGAACCCCTACCAGCAAAGGCATTACATTATAAGATCGGATTTTTAAATGCTTTGCTTACGGTGAACACAGAATCAGAAAATTTAGTCAACGGTAAGTTATATTGAAATGAAGTTTGATACCAATCTTATTACTAAAATTCGTATAGAAAACGAAAGGACTTGCTATGCCTAAATAAGTCCTTTCAATAGAATATATATATATATATATATATATATATATATATATATATATATATATATATATCAAAGATTTTCTAGCTTCACTATCTCATTCAGTCTCAACAATAAAATTTGTACATATGCTGAAAGCTGCATTCATGAAAAGGAAGCCCACAGGCAACAAGAAGGTTCAAAAGTTTAAGAGAGAAAACAGACTTCCGAATGGTGGGGCACTTAAAAGCCAGACTTTTATTGAGTGAAATATTTTTATCATTAGGTATATTGTGAAATTAGCTAACTTAAAGCGAATACCAAGTCATCATTGTGTACTTAAAAGTATCTGTGTAAAAATAAAAGTTATTTATATCAGTAAAATATAAAACTTTCAGTGTGCGTTGAAGCAAGCTCACAAGTGTTTTAGCCAGTAATTTTATTTATCTATAAAGGCTTATTTCACTATTTTGTATGAAAGACAATCTCAACAAGAAATACAATATATTCTTCCTTAAAACTGCAAGTTTCCTTGTACAAAATAGCATTGACCAGGAAAACAGTGTAAACAGCATATTCTCCAATGTGTTAACACCATGGCGTCCAAAAATCTCTATACGTCTTCACAAGTAAAATCTAAGCATATTCTTCTTATGAACAGGAAGTGATATCTGAGCTGGCTAGTAAAAGATTTTTGAGCAAAAGTCAATTTGTTGTATAAAATGACTTCAATAATGAGAAAGTAAATCTCGGCGTTCATAAGATATTTATGAGTTTGACTGATATGAAGATCCATTATGCAGACAGACATAATAAAAATGATTTAGGATTTTTGGTTTTAAGCGATCTCCCATAAGGAGAAAGAACAATTTCTACTGCTGCTTGATTCTCAGCCCCCTTTTAAACGGTATCCATTCGAAAGAAGTATACTTAAGCTACTCGTTTCTTCAGGAGAATCAGTTTTTATTATGACTATGCTGAAGGTAGGACTGTTTCATTAGTTGATAAGGATGATGCCTTAAAACTAGGTTACTGTGAAGACCTTACTCACTCCATTGCTTTACTAAAGCAGAATAGTGGTTCTAAGTATACCATTTGTGCTGGTGTTTGAGTCTAATGAAAGTACACAATAAATACAAACTATCTTATCCAAGCTACTCTTTATATGGGGAAATACTTCTGTAGTTATCACAGGAATAGATAGTAACTGATTCTGTTTCACTGTGGATAATCTAAATCTGGTTTGATACAAAAAAACCTGTTAGGAATTAAAAACACTATATTATAATAAAATCAGAAGGCGTTTTCGGAAGGTCAGTTACGAAACTATCGATGCAACATGTTTACACCGGTTTTTATCATTATCAACTTTTGTCTCAATGATCTATTTTGAAAGCCATCTAAGAGAAACACCGCGTACAGTATTTTCTATTCAATGCAAAATAGAATTATCTCAGTTGTCAAGATCTCTTTCTACTCTGTGACAGATGAATCCCTAATGACAACAACAGCATAGTTGGTTTGTTTCACTGAGATACTCTTCAAAGCTAAGTACCGTTTATAAGTAGTAGTCGCACACCACGAAACACAAGATAGATATCCTGCTTCGTCATCCATGCCTACATTTCATTCCTTAGGATTACACATATCAGTTAAAACTTGGGAAGTTTATCGTTAGTCAGGTGTCAACTTTCAAATAAGAATTCTACAAGTTCTTGTATTTATTCAGATTTTAAGTACCTACTGATAAATATATACAATTCATCACCAGCTGCTGAGTCATTCCTGTTCTTTGGATTGGGTATTGTTTTCATCGACAAAGATTAGGTGAATTGGAATAAATTTATTCTCATTCATATTACCTAATCCCTTGATTGTTTATTAACTCTACCATGTTTTCACACCTTTGTAATCAATATGCACCTTATAAACCATTTAAAGATTCAGTTATCAATCTCTCCCTCCACCCTGTTATGTTAGTTTTAAGAACTTTCACCCTGTCTCACCTTATTGTTTGGTTGTGTGTAATCGCATTCATAGTTATGGCCGGGCTTTTTTCTAAATTCCTTATCGCACTAGGATCTACCAGTTTTGACCTAGCTATTCCATATTAGATTTGTTTATTTGATATATAGCGCACAGTGATACATTATTTAGATTAGCAGAACATAGGAATTTAGCTAAACATAGAACGACAGACCCCAATAAGATCAATAATCTAGAAAAACACTCGGCCATTGCATTACATTCATTAACACACAACCACACAATAGGGTGGGACAAAACCACTGTATTTAAGTCGAATATAGCTAGGTGGAGAGAGAGATTAATTACTGAATCTTTGTTCATCGAATCCACACCCAACACATGTAATAGGAATGAGGCAACACCTATGCCAGAGATATGGAAAACTTTACTACCAATCAAAAAAACAAAGAAAAATCAGGTGATAGGACTATAAAATCAGATATCGAAAGAAGTGTGATTATATTGATATGATTATGAGCAATAATTTATGCTCGAAACTTAATCAAGTAAATAATACTGTAT